GTTCTAGTCCCAGTTGGGGCACCGGATTCTGTCCCGGTCGCTCCTCTTCCTGTCCAGCTCTCTGCTGTGGCCTGGGAATGCAGTGGAGGATGGCCCAAGTGCTTGGGCCCTGCACCCGCATGGGAGACCAGGAGAAGCACCTGGCTCCTGCCTTCGGATCAGCGTGGTGCGCCAGCCACAGCGGCCATTGGAGGGTGAACCAATGGAAAAGGAAGACCTTTCTGTCTCTCTCACTGTCCACTCTGCCTGAGAAAAAAGAAAAGAAAAGAAAAGAAAAGAAAAGAAAAGAAAAGAAGAAAGAAAGCTAAGAGAAAACAATGAAACAATAACCCGTTACTACCGCTTCAGACCCCACTTCAGGGCAGACGGCTGGGCAGCTAAGAGGCCACACTCTCTCCTTAGGAAGGGTAAGTCAGGTGGAAGCAAAGGCTCATCCTGACGTCTGCAAAGTCAGGGCCTCTGATTAGCGTTTCCTTTCTCCTACGTTATTTTGCTTTAGATCATTTTTCTAAAATTCTCATAATTCTTTAGTGGGATTTGCTGAACATATTCTTATTTGGATTTATAGGCAACCATAAAGCTGAGGGAAAAGACTCCTGCATGGAGTAGAGAGAGGCAGAGAACAAGGATGCTCATTCACAACCAACTGTTATCATATAGTGGCTAAGAAAAAATGAAAATCAAGCCAAGATGAGAACATACAATGGAGTGTGACAAATTACCATGTGATCCTTGCCAGAGAAGCAGATAAGAAATCAACAGCGAAACACTGTTAAGTAATTTAGGTATTAAGAAACCAGTGGTGGAGGTCTCCATTCAAGTAGCACACCAGTCCAGTACAATGCTACTATCAAACACACACAAAATGAATCTGGATGCTTGAAGGGCAAATTTTTTTTTCCTTCTTGACAGGCAGAGTGGACAGTGAGAGAGAGACAGAGAGAAAGGTCTTCCTTTTGCCATTGGTTCACCCTCCAGTGGCCGCTGCGGCAGGTGTGCTGTGGCCGGCGCGTTGCGGCCGGCGCACCACGCTGATCCGAAGGCAGGAGTCAAGTGCTTCTTCTGATCTCTCATGCAGGTGCAGGGCCCAAGTACTTGGGCCATCCTCCACTGCACTCCCGGGCCACAGCAGAGAGCTGGCCTGAAAGAGGGGCAACCGGGACAGAATCCAGCACCCCGACCAGGACTAGAACCTGGCGTGCCAGCGCCGCTAGGCGGAGGATTAGCCTAGTGAGCCGCGGCGCCGGCCTTGAAGGGCAAATATTATAACAGAATGCTTTGGTTTTAGAACCACACTAGACAAGAAACTGATTTGCTTCACTGGCAGAAGCGGGGATCCCAATGATTACCCACAGTGTCACAGAAGCGCTGGTTTAAAGCCAGATCCATATGTTTAAACACATTTCTGCATCTACTGCCCAAGAGGCTCTGACAATGTTTTGACAGGAAGCCAAACCTCACACTCAGTAAAACAGAAATATAAAATCAGGATCAAGGAGACCAGCCTAACAACGTGGATAACAGCAAGTTCTGGTCTCACACAGAAAAGAGTTAAACTCCAAGTCAACTAATTACCACGCGGCCTTGAACATACCGCTCACCCCAGCCTCCATTTCCTCATTTGTAAAATGGAGCTACTGCATCATTCAGCCATTGTGAGCCTGAAATAGTGAGATTCATGGACAGCACCCAGTCCTGTATCCGGCACACAGTAAACAGGTACATAATGATGACCAGCATCACTATCATCATCACCAACCTTAAAATTAGTGTAACTCCTACCTTCCAACCTCAAGTACAGCCCAGAGCGTCCTGGTAGCCAGACCCCCCCACCCCCCACCGCCACCAAAAAAAAAAAAAAAAAAAAAAAATCCTAACAATTAGGAAGAAGACATCCACACACACACACATAAGACAGCTTTTGTTTCCAAACTTCAGCACCCTAGACGGCCTCCTCCTACATGAACTAACTCGGACTAACTCTGTACATACAGCAGAGGCGTCCACACAGGCGCTCCTCGTTAGGGAAGGTCATTTTCAGTGCAATCTGGACTGATGATGTAACCAGTCTGGGGAAGTCACAGTTGGTATGGTATTGTTGAGGGTATTTGTTCTGCTTTTGTTTTTTGGAAATAGATTTGTTAGGAGCAAGGGGAAGGGATGAGAAAGATGCCTTTGAATCATCCTATACACCTTATTCACCATTATTTGAGAGAGAAAAACATTAGAAGGTGGGCTAGTCACATTATGTTATAATTGAATTAGAAAATGAAGAGGAAAAAAATCAGGTGAAATGTTTAACTCACCCATAAAAAGGAATGAATATAAATGATAATAAGACTGAACAGACAAAACATGTCCACAAAAGAGGGAGGGTGGCAAGTCAGTTATTCCTACAGCTTAAGTAACAAACACCTACCTACCCCATTCTTTTAAAATCATGGTTTAAATTTCCCTTTTGCAGGGTGGTGCGGTGGCGCAGTGGGTTAAAACTCTGGTCTGCAGTGCTGGCATCTCATATGGGTGCTGGTTCAAGAGCCAACTGCTCCACTTCTAATCCAGTGCCCTGCTAATGTGCCTGAGAAAGCAGCAGAGGATGGCTCAAGTCCTTGGTCCCCTGCACCCACATGGGAGACCCAGAAGAAACTCTAGTCTTCCAATCAGCTCTGCTCCTGACTTTGCAGCTATTTGGAGAGTGAACCAAGGCAGATGGAAGATGTCTGTGTCTCTGTGTTGGGGGAATGAACCAGTGGATGGAAGACCTCTCTCTCTGGAATTCTTTCAAATAAATAAAATAAATTTTTAAAAACAAAAATTTCCCATTTGCAGCCAACTATCTTCGCCTGCTCTCCCAAATCTGCCACTAGCTTCAATGTGCCTTTAACTTGTGCTATCTTCTTAAGCAAATACTGTACCTCATTTTAGTTAAGAACAAAACTAAAATCTTGTGCGTGCTTCTTTTTCTAAAATTCATGGGAAAATATCAGTAGTAATTCAATCATTTAGAGAATACGTTTCAAAAAAAATACTGAGATGATTTGGGGAGAAGAATTTTCTTCATGAAAATGAATCAGTTATAGAAAACCTATTCAAGGACAACCAAACAGAAATTTCAAATTCATACAAATTTTTAAAGTCTGAGCTGGGGCAGCAGGATCGATGAGCTGGGAGGTGCACATAGTCTCCAAGATCAAAGATACAGAAATGAAGAAGAGCCTTAGCAAGGTGTACGAGCTGGTGCAATCAACCCACCAGTACGTGTGTAAAAATACTGAACAGGCAATGAATTATCCAAATCAACACTGGGAAATTTAGAAAAAAAAAAAAAAAACACCAACCCTAGAGGCATTTTCTTCACGATCTCTCTCCGCATTGAAGATAATGCTGCAGACCGCGAAATCCCACAAGGTGCTCTGATCAACAACCTGCAGGTGAAAGCAACAGCACCCCAGAACGAAGCCCTGGCACCCAGAGATGCCGGCCGTTTCCTCTCACTGTTTAAGAATCCGAGAGAATCTCCGTCTGCTTTTAAATGCAAATCGCCAAGCTCCAAAGCACATTCTGCTCTCTCCCTTTATATGAAAATGACTGCAATGTGATCCTCTTCTAGGGAGGATACCATTCAGCCGGGAAGCTGGAATTAGGGCACCCTCACACCCTGTGTGTTCAGATGATGGGGCCTGGGTGCTGTTGCCGGCTACACACGGCCTTTTTCAGGCGACAGACCACTGCTGGCGGAGAGTTGGCTCTGAGGACTACCAGGTCACGAAACTCACACCCACATCTGTGTCGGTCAAGTGCACACAGCGTCCCCCAGCTTTCAGACGGCTCTGGCTAGTGATCAGAACTTCAGTGACAACACTGACCTGTTTGTTACACGGTTAAAAAAAAAAAAAAAAAAAACAAAAAACGGGCGCGCGCCAGAGCCGCCACAGGGCGAGAAATGAGGTGCTGAGAACCACACCAGGTGCGGCCCTGCTGGCCCGTCCCTGCAGAACACCCCGGAACAGGGAGAGCTGGCTTAGAGACTGACTCCAAGTCAACCTGTCAGGTGGCCAAGTGAGAAAAGAACACTTTTAAACTGCAGCCAGTCAAGAAATAAATAAGCTATAATTAACGGAGAAAGAGGCATGCCGTTGTTAAAGGTTCAAGCTGTTTGCCAAAACCACACTTGGTTTGGGATATTTTAGTTGTCAGGTCAATGTAAACAAGGAGGGAAGAAAGAGACAGGAGCCAGAGCCTCACAAAAGGTTAACTAACTCGCCTGCTCCGGTCAGCCCAAGTCACAGGTTAACAGCTCGCTTCAGTTCTCATGAAAACCTCTATCCTAGCTAAGGCAAGCCACATCCCGAATGAATGAATGAATGAATGAATTTTTGTGGCGGTACTTGGCTTAGGTGGTCCTCAGGCCTCAGAGGCAGACCTCAACCTATCCCCACCCCCACCCTCACCCCAGGGTGCCCGACGAGAAACAAGAAGCTATAGAGAATGAATCGCGCCTCTGAACCTTCACTGTGGTCGAGCGAAAGGACGAAGAAGTCTGTCCTAGGTTTAGAAAGCTGTTCCGATATTTCCCAGATGCCTGGGATTTGTTCCTGGCAACCAAATGGCATGGCATCAGCCCAGCCCCACTCAGAACCCAGACAGGGAGTGCGGCAGACCCCTGGAGACCCGAGCCCACCCCGTGCGCCGCGTAGGGGGTGCGGGGTTAGGGTATCACCGTGCACAGGAATCACCAAGCAAGGACGCGCCCGGCCGGCACTCTCGCGCCTTTGCGGACCAGTTCAATCCGTCCCCCCAATCCACGCCACCCTTTCAACTTCGCAACAAAGAGAGAAGGAGAAATTCCGGTCAACTCGCCTTGGGGGGTTGGTGTGAGGGTGGAGGACGCCAGTGTGTGTGTGTGTGTGTGTGTGTGTGTGTGTTTGGGGGTGGAGGTGGGGGGCGGGGATGGAGAGAGAAAGAGGAGCAAGCCAAGGAAAGAGACCAGAATCTCCCACCTTTCTTAAATTCCTCCAGCATAGCGTCCAATTTGGTGTCATTGAAAACAAAGTGCAAGGGGTGGTTATAAAACTTGGTGATGGTTTTCAGCGGAGTGCAGTCGTCCGGATCCACGAAGGCCAGGTCCTTGACGAAGAGCAGGTCCACGATGTTGGAGCGCTCGCCCTCGAACACGGGGATGCGCGTGTAGCCGCTCTCCATGATCTCCGACATGGTGTTGAAGTCCAGGATGGCCTCTCCGGTGATCATGAAGCAGTCGCGCAGCGGGGTCATCACGTCCTCCACCGTCTTGGTGCGCAGCTCCAGCGCGCCCTGGATGATGTTCAGCTCCTCTTTCACCAGGTCGTTGTAGGGGTCGGTGACCCGCAGCATCTCCAGCAGCTTCTCCCGGTTGTACACGGTGCCGATCTCCTGGCCCAGGACGCAGTCCAGCAGCTTGCTGACCGGGTACGAGGCCGGGAAGGTCATCATCATGAAGAACTTGGTGAGGAAGATGGTGTTGGCGCCGACGGCCAGGCCGTGCCGGGAGCAGATGGCCTGGGGCACGATCTCGCCGAAGATGACGATGCCGATGGTGGAGACCACCACGGCCACGAGGCCCGAGCCGGCGATGTCGTCCAGCAGGATGGTGAGCGTGGTGTTGACCAGCACGTTGCCCAGCAGCAGCGAGCACAGCAGGTAGTTGCCCTGCCGGCGCACGGGCTCGATGCGCTTGGCGTAGTTCTTCTCCTTCTCGGTGCCGCAGTTCTGCACGATGCGCAGCTCCATGGGGTCCAGGGCCATGAGCCCCAGGTTGAGGCCGCTGAACATGCCCGACAGGCAGAGCAGCAGCGAGATGAAGATCACCTGCAGCCAGAAGGGCAGCAGGAACTTCTTCTCCTCGCCCACGATCATCTTGGTGTCCTCGCCGTCGTGGTAGATCCAGGTGGTCTCGGCCCAGGGCGGCGGCGGCAGCCCGGCCACCCCCGCGCCGCCCTTGCCGCCGCCCTTGCCGCCCGCCGAGCCCGGGCCGCCGGCGCCCAGCGCGGGCGTGGAGAGCGACGTGCACAGGTAGTAGGACTTGCTCTTCTCCATCTTGCGCAGCGGCTTGATCTCGATCTCGATGATGCCAGACGTGCGGCGGTTGAGGATGATGTGCGGCAGGATGATGATGTCCGAGGTGCGGATGCCGCAGCGCTGGGGGCCGCTGTCCGGCTCCGGCGGCGCGGGGCCGCCCAGCCCGCGCTCGCCGGGGCTGTGGCGCTGCCGCTCGTGCTCGGTGAAGGCGATGCGGGACCACGTCTCGTTGTTGATGTTCTGCCCGTACACCCGCAGCTTGACCCGGGTGCGTTCGCTCACCCGCAGCGCCCCCCCTTCCATGAACGACACGTCGTTCGTGTCCTCCAGCCGCAGCCCGATGATCACGGTCTCCTCGCTCTCGCCGGCCGCGGCGCAGCCGCCCGCGCCGCAGCAGCAGCTCAGCAGCAGCAGCAGCAGCAGCCGCGCCGCCGCCGCCTGCAGGACCCCCCGGTCGCGGGCGCTGGGGCTGCGGCGCGCCGCCATCTTCCAAGTGGGCAGTGCGGCGGCTGCCTGCCCGCCCGCCATCTTTACTTCGGGTTCACAAGCGCCACAGCCAATCATAGGGTGGCTGCTCCAGCTGCGGCCTCATCCTTCTACCCGGCGGCGCGAGCACAGGCACCGGCCCCGGGGCGAGACTGCAGCAGAGCGTCAGCGCCCAGTGCTTATCAGTCCGCCTCCCTGACTGACACTGATTCGGCCGCAGCCAGCGGAGAAACCCCGAGGCTCGCGGGCAGGGGGGGTGGGGGGCGGGAGTGAGAAGGAGGGGCGGGCTCGCCGCTCCCGCGAGAGGCAGGTCAGCCAGCCAATCACGAGCGGGAGCCCGCCCTCACAGCCAGGGGGCTGGAATGGGGGCGTGGCCGCACGCAGTGCTGTGGGCCAATAGCAAGGTAAGTGGGTGGGGCGAGGAGGGCCACGGTCCTCCTCAGCACGACAAGTTTCCTACTGAAAGGCGCGTGACTCTTGTGTATGTGCGAGGGGAGGAGGCGTGGCCGGCCGGGACGCGAGAACCAGTCAGAGATGAGAACCGTAGGGGAGGGGGCGGGGCCTCCCGCCCGGCTGCCAATGGAAAGGAGCTGTCCGAGGGTCCGGTTCTCCCTGAGGGGGCTCGGTAGTAGATCCCCGCGCCCGGCTGGGCCGGGTGGGGCCAGAGCCCCGCAGCGGGAGGCCGCCCTTTCGGCGGCACAGCCTTGCCGGTTCCGTAGAGCTCTATGCGGGGGCCGCAAAGACTGCACCCTCCGGTCCCGGTACCCCGAGAAGCCGACTAAGCACGGCTTAGGCGCCACATGGCCTAAAAAGAAGACCGGGCACCAGCCATGCCCCCACCCGCCCGCTACTCGTGCGCGCCGCTCTGCGGGAGTCAGCGGCAGCCAGGCGGCCAGGGCACCGAGGCAGAGCGGCTCTCAGACCGCCCGCCGCTTCGCGGAGCAGCGCGCTCTCTGCGGTCACGTGGCGCCACCTGCCGGCGCTGTGGGCGCCCTGCAACACTTTCCAGATGGGCTGCCCACCCCAACAGGTGTGCGGGAATCCAGACTAGGGGCGTTACTTGTTGGTCCTAAGAATTCCCATGTGGTCTTGCTGGAAGGACTGTATACACGTATTCGCTGTATCCCATCCATGTGAAATAGGAAACGCCCAGAACCTGCGTTCCTAACAGGCTATCAGGCAAGTTTGGAAAAGGAGTGGAATTTTTTTTTTTTTTTTTTTTTTTTGACAGGCAGAGTGGACAGTGAGAGAGAGAGAAAAAGGTCTTCCCTTTGCCGTTGGTTCACCCTCCAATGGCCGCCATGGCTGGCGCGCTGCGGCCCGCCGATCTGAAGGCAGGAGCCAGGTGCTTCTCTGGTCTCCCATGGGGTGCAGGGCCCAAGCACTTGGGCCATCCTCCACGAGGCAGACATCTTAAAAAGGTCCATAAAAGTTCCTGGGTTTCCCGCCCCCAGAGGCAGAGAGGCAGAGAGCGGGCTCCCATCCGCTGGCTCACTCCCCAAGGGCTGGCACGGCCAAGGCTGAGCTAACCTTAGGCCAAAAGCTGAGAACTGAGTGAGAGACCAAAGTACCTGAGCCATAACCTGCTGGCTCCAAGGACGCACATTAAAAAGAAGATGGGCTGGAAGCAGTGACTGAGACACTTGGACATGGGGTGCAGGCACCCAGACCCCCGAGGTCCTGACCACTAGGCTGAACACCTGCCCCAGGCTCATTTTAAAGCACACTGACCAAACCCTGCCAGCATGTTTCTAGCAGAAAAAAAAATTTTTTCTAGAGACCCAACTGTCCAGAACTCACAAACCCACTGGGAACACGCAGTAGCAGAGTAGCTGCCGAACTGCTCTTCTTCTCTCAATGTAAATATTCAAAAAATAATTAGCTCCTTGCCTTTTATTTATTTATTTGTTTATTATCTATTTTTGTATTCCACAGGCACATTCTCCTCCCTTTTTGTAAACACATCAATCCTTTCTGAAGAATTTCGAGTCTGGTTCATTTCTGGGATGGCTGCAGTGGTCTCTCCTCTCCTACACCTGTTCTCTCTGCTCCCCAGCCTAGCACCCGGGCTATCGTGAAACCAGGGGCTGCCTTGTTCGACACCCTCTGCTTGTTCTGTCTCATCACAGGAAAGGCCAGAGCCCCTTCAGTGTCCCACAAGGCTCTGCAGGAACCGCTCCGCCCCCTGCTGCCCACGGGCTTTTGCCTCCTGCTTCCAGGCACACCGGAGCACAGTCCCGGGGGCCCAGGCACCGCCCGCAGGACACAGGCCAACTGCCCGCCCGTGGCCACCTCATTTTAAAACCCTGAAAACACTCCCTGTACCCCATCTCTGCTTTGTTTTTCCTCAAAGATCACTTTCTAATATACTATGTAAACTGTGCATCTGGCCCACCCCCATCTCCAGCCATGGGTAGGAAGTCTGTTTTGTTCACTATTCACCAATAGTGTGAATTCAAAATAACATTTGTAAAATGTTAAAAGAAAAGAAAATGAATTTTTATTTATGGGACCGGCACTGTGGCATAGTGGGAAAAGCCACCACTTACAGTACCGGCATCCCCTGTGAGCTCTGGTTCAAGTCCTGGCTGCTCCACTTCCCATCCATCTCTCTGCTGTGGCCTGGGAGAGCAGTAGAAGATGGCCCAAGTGCTTGGGACCCTGCATCTGCATGGGAGACCCAGAAGAAGCTCCTGGCTTTGGATTGGTGCAGCTCCAGCCATTTGCAACCATTTGGGGAGTGAACCAGTGGGTGGAAGACTCTCACTCTTTCTCTCTCTCTCTCTCTCTCTCTCTCTCTCTCTCTGCCTGCCCCTTCGCTGGGTTCTGGAAAAGGGTACGTTCAGTGTCTTCACCTGCAGCAGGTCAGGGCTTCGGGAGCGCCTTGGACCCAGGGCCAGAAGTCCCTCTGGGTTTGATGAGTTTGGTCTTCTTAAAGGTTACAAGCAAAACACCAAATGGCCCTCTACACACTGTGTTTCTCAACATAAGCTCTGACTTTATAGAGAAGCTTTTTTTGCCTCCACGGAAACTGCCTCGTTGTAAATAATGTCCTAAGTCACTACTCCAGCAGCGGCTGTTTTTTTCCCTCTTGAGAGACAGGGAGCTCTCACCCCTGAGTCACTCCCCAGATGCTCACAGTGGCTAGGGTAGACGGGCCAACGCCAGAGTTGGAGCCAGAACTCAATGTGCGTCTCCCGCATAGGTAGCAGAAACCCAAGCACTTGATTCAGCACCTGCTGTCTCTCAGGGTCTACATTAGCAGGAAGCCAGAGTAAAGAACTAGAACAAGGTTTTGGTTTTTGGGCTTTTTTTTTTTTTAAGATTTATTTCAAAGCTATAATGACAGAGGGAGACACAGGAAGAGAGAGATCTTCCATTGGCTAGCTCACTCCCTAAATGACCACATAGCAGCCCTGGCTAAAGCAGGCCAAACCCAGGAGCCAGGAGCTCCATACAGGTCTCCAGATGGGTGGCAGGGGCCCGAGTACTTGGCTGTCTTCAGCGGCCCTCCCAGGTGCATTAGCAGGGAGCTGGCTCAACAGCAGAGCAACCGAAACGTGAGCTGGAACTCCAGCATGGGCTTCAGGGGCTACCGCAGCGAATGAACCCACTGCACCACACCAGCCCCTGGAACAGGTGTCGGACGAGGCACTCGACTAGGAGATGTGGGCAATGTAACCGGCAGCTTAACTGCTCGACCAAACATCTGCTCCAAATGTACTTTCTAATCACACAAAAGAATAAAGTGGGTTTTGTTTGGTTTTGTTTTGTTTTAAGATTTATTTATCTGGCCGGCACCGCGGCTCACTAGGCTAATCTTCCACTTGTGGCACCGGCACACCGGGTTCTAGTCCCGGTCGGGGCGCCAGATTCTGTCCCGGTTGCCCCCCTTCCAGGCCAGCTCTCTGCTGTGGCCAGGGAGTGCAGTGGAGGATGGCCCAGGTGCTTGGGCCCTGCACCCCATGGGAGACCAGGAGAAGCACCTGGTTCCTGCCTTCGGATCAGCACGGTGCGCCGGCCACAGCGGCCATTGGAAGGTGAACCAACGGCAAAAGGAAGACTTTTCTCTCTGACTCTCTCTCACTGTCCACTCTGCCTGTCAAAAAAAAAAAAAAAGATTTATATATCTGAAAGGCAGAGTTAGTATTACAGAGAGAGAAAGAAGGAGCGACAGAGATCTTCCACCCACTGGTTCATGCCCCAGATGGCCATAACTGCCAAAGCTGGGCCAGGCCTAAGCCAAGAGCTTCTTCTGGGTCTCCCACAGGGGTACAGGTGCCCAAGCACCTAGGCCATCTTCTGCTGCTTTCCCAGGCCGTTAGCAGGGAGCTGGGTTGGAAGTGGGGCACCCAGACTCAAACAGGCATTCATATGGGATGCTGGCACTGCAGGCAACGGCTTAACCTGCTGTGCCACAGCGCTGGCCCCCTGAGCACAAAGTCTTTTGAGAAAAAGTAGAAATTGAAAATGCTGGCATTACCTAAAGTTGCCCTGAAATCAAATCTGTTTGCCCTGAGAGATATCTCAAAAGCAACACAATCCACTTGCTTAAATGCATAGAACTCTTAATTTAGCTAAAATGAGAAGTTTTTACCACAGTTGACCAAAAAAAAAAAAAGCACCACACCATTTACCATGTCAAAGTGGACTTTTTGGGGCATTCGTATAGGGCTTTCCCATTTTTTCCTTTTTCTGAGTATTTTCTGGATATTTTACTGGGATAAGAAAAGAAAAAAAAACATGGCATTTTGACAGAGCTGTGAGAAAAGTTTCCCTCTTTTCTGATACAGAATGTGTATCTATTTCAGTTAATTGAGAATCAGAGCGAGAGAAGCAAGCAGAGATCTCTCATTCTCTGACACCCCAGATGCCCACGACAGCCACGCCTGGGCCACAGCCAGAAGCCTAGGACTCCGTCAGGCTCTCCCATGTAGGTGACAGGGACCCAAGTACTTGAACCATCAGCTGAGCCTCCCGGGGTGTGCGTTAGCAGGAAGCGGGAACAGGAAGAGGAACTGGGACTAGACCCCAGGCACTCCCACGTGGGAGGCGCCCGACCCCGACCTTCCTGCTGAGCTCCTTGGGGTCCGCCCTTCCCAGAAATACTGAGGGTTTGCGGGACCTGAGTAGGAGCAGGTGTGGGGAGCCCCGCCCCTCCTGCTCTGCCACAGCACAGCCAGGCGCCCCACACCCCACCCCACGGTCCTCCCAGAGAGGCTGCTCTCCCCCCACGCCCTCCAGGGAGCACACACACACACACACACACACACCC